CTGGACCAAACTTGGCATGAATACTCAATATGCCCAAATGTGAACATTGGTGGAGTTTGGGGAAAATAGACCCTGACATTTAGGAGTTGTAATTGCTGGGATTTATAGTTCACCCACAATCAAATAGCCCTTTGAACTCCGCCAACGATAAAACTGGGCCAGACTTCCCACACAGAACTCCTATGCCTTGAAGGGACTCGCTGGCATGATCCTCCCTCCAGCTTGACACGCTGTCCCTCGCCTTTCACATGTGCACTACTCTGCTGTGCGCCAAGCACCCCTGCTTTCTCTGCTTGGAGTCTCAGAAGCAGCCCTCCCCCTGGCCGAAGACCATCTGAGAGGCCTCCATCATAGCAGAGGAGGTCTTTTGGTGGAAGGATTCACCATCAGTTTCCAAAAAGGAAGAGAAGGATGAGGGAGAGGTCTTCAGCCTTCTCTGCCAAAGGGCTTCCTAAGACTATCAGAAATATATGTTTCTGGTGGTCTTTGACGACCCCTCTGAAACACCCTTGTGACCCCCAGTTTGAGAAACGCTGCCTTAACACCAGGCTGGTTTCAAGTACTGTGTGTGTGGTCCATGTGCTGCTTTGCTTCAAAATATATTTGCAACAAAATTTTTTGAATGGGCACTGGATACTGGGGGCTAAGAAGAGAAAATGATAAGGGTTGTAGCACACTAGAACTACATTAGAAAAAAATATTCTTTTTTTGGCTATTACTTTCCCAATTTGATTTCTGCATGTCATTTTCAAATAAGTAAATTGTGATAGAAAACGAAACAATACTAATTTCTGTACCATCTGAAAGTGAGTTGTTCCATATGTGTTTGAACCTGCTTGAGAGTCTTTCTTTGCCCAAACAAGGAGAGATTTGACTGTTTTAGACTTCAATTCCAAAAACCTCCAACAACAGGGACAACATTTCTGCTGATTTTAAGCTTCTGGAGTCATAGTCCAAAATGCCTTTTCAGTGCTTTGCTCCCTGTGAAATTATGGGTTAAACCCCTGTGCCGGCAGGACTGGAGACCAACAGGTCGCAGGTTCAAATCCGGGGAGAGCGCAGATGAGCTCCCTCTATCAGCTCCAGCTCCTCATGCAGGGACATGAGAGAAGCCTCCCACAAGGATGATAAAACATCAAATCATCCGGGCGTCCCCTGGGCAACGTCCTTGCAGATGGCCAATTCTCTCACACCAGAAGCGACTTGCAGTTTCTCAGGTCGCTCCTGACACAACAAAAAAAAAAGGGGGGGGGGAGATATGATTTCCTTCACATATGATATGCAATAAAGTAACTTTGTCTGTTTTTTCCCATCCCACAGTCGGGAATGTCAACAAGCTTGGACCAACAGTATTCCCAAGCCTGTGAAGAACAGAAACAGCCTGAAAATCCATATATAGCTCACATTCTCCGAGAAGTGAAGCAGGATGAAGAAATGTAAGGCATCCAATCATTGCGGGGCTGAGACAATGTCTTTTCAATAATCAAATGGGACTTTTTTATTCTCTTCTTTAACAATGGAAAATCTGATGCAATGGTAATCTAACTTCTGATGCAAGACAATAAGAAAACAGTAATGGGGCAATTCATGGGTGGCCTGGGTCTGCAATGTCCATCTTCCAACATACAACCCCTCCAATTTTGAGGCAAAGTGGTAAACTGATAAAGCAACATGCCTGTCTGTTTGCATGAAGTCGGAGTGTGTCTTGCTTAACTGCTTGCTTAGACAGTTGCATGAACTATTTATGGCCCAGAAAGGTGTTTCTACAATTCTAGGTTCCAGCAGATTTCCAAAATTGACTCTTTTCTGACAAGAA